AGCTTTGTACTCCGTCTCATCGCCTGACCTGAATGCATGAGAGCGAGCACACAGCATGCGGCGTGCCTGACTGTTTATCCAGGGTGTTCTGGTTGGGAAACCTCCTGACTTGTATGGTGGGCACAATGTTGTCAATACAGGTACTAATGTATCCGGTCACATACTCAGCATAATCCTGTACGCTGACAGAAAAGTCCTCTGAGGTGGCTGCAGCTTTAAACACATCCCAGTCTGTCTGGGCGAAACAGTCCTGCAGTGTGCCTTCAGTCTCTGGGGTCCAGAGTTTAATTTGTTTGGTGGCAGGGTTTGTTTGTTTCAGTCTTTGTCTGTAAACTGGATACAGGAACAAAGAAATGTGGTCCGAGTGTCCAAGGTGGGGACGGGGTGCGGCCCTGTATACACTCCCTGTGTTACTGTAAACATGTTCCAGAGTGTTCTTGCCCCGGGTGGGAATGTTCACATGTCGGTAATACTTGGGAAGTACAGTCCGTAAGTTGCACTGGTTAAAGTCGCCTGCCATGATAAAAAAAACAGCGTCAGGGTGCGCTGTCTCTAATGCACTAATGACGTTGTGGAGTTTGCTGAGAGCCGCCGAGGGATTAGCTCTTGGGCTAACATACACAGCAGTCAGAAACACAGCACTATGCTCTCTGGCTAGATAGTAGGGCCGGCATTTCAGCAATAAAAACTCTACATCTGGCGAACAGTGCTTATAAACAGTCCGTATATGCCCACACCATGAGTTATTGATAAACACACCACACCATGAGTTATTGATAAACACACACACCACCTCCTTTTACCTTCCTCAAAGCAGCAGTGCGGTCTCCCCAGTGTACAGAGTGGCTCTGTAGCTGAATCATGCCATGACCTCTTTGAGATGCATAGCAGAGTTTGAGATGTTCTCTCCTTTCGTGGCAAAGGTTCAGAGACCAAGTTTGCATACAAGCTTTTGGTAGCCTATAATTTGTCCCTGATCATCCAACTCAAACGCAGAGTATCTCTATACATGACTTTTAGAGTGTTTTTTCTTTCTATAAATTGCAGTGGACCTGTTACTACATCTGGGCTTGCTGACGCCATCTCGCATGTTATTGTTGTGGTTGCTGCTGTGTTACCTTCCTCCCCCTCTTTAATATCAGACTACACAGTTATTATGCTGCTCTCATCAGTGCCGGGGAAATCACATTCCCCACTACCTATGACCGCTATTGCAGTATTTTCAGTACTTTTGGTACCATAGAAAACAAGTACTATCACGTTTTCAAATTTTTTTGTATCGACCTGGCACCAAAGTATTGGTTATTGTGACATCCCTAGCTGACGGGAGGTGACAGTGGTGTAGTGGGTAGAGCAGTCATCTCCCAACCGGAAGGTTGAAGGTTCGAATCTCAGTACGTGCAGTCCATGTCTCAAAGTGTGCTTGGGCAAGACACTGACCCCTCCACCCCGTTGCGTGTGATGGCGGCATGTATACACGCAGCGGCCCGGGGCTCTCGGCTCCAAACAGAATTTCGTTGTACGTGTCACAATGTTACAATAAATAAAGCTTCTTTTTCTGCTACTAAAGAGGGACAATAGGAATAAGTACAGTTTCTGACACTCCTGAACAGTCAGGCAGTTTCCCCCAGTCTAAATATTCTTCTTCTTCAGATGCTGATTAGCTGCTTGACCTGTTGCACTATAGATAATATGAGGCATCTTCCACTTCAGTAATATTCTCTCTCTGCCAATGATGTTAGCTAACAGTAGTGCTTCTTAGAAGTAAAAAAGAAACTGAATAAACAGACGATAATATCACAGCAGGTGGAGAAACATCTGAGTGACTGTCTTCCAGATCTGTGATTTTGGCTTGGCTCGAGTGGAGGAGTCAGATGAGTCACGGCACATGACTCAGGAAGTGGTGACACAGTACTACCGAGCTCCAGAGATCCTCATGGGGAGTCGCCACTACTCCAACTCCATTGATATCTGGTCTGTGGGCTGCATCTTCGCTGAGCTGCTGGGAAGACGCATCCTCTTCCAAGCCCAAAGTCCCATTCAGCAGGTAACTCCTGCTCTCTGACGATAACACACATGGCATAACTTTTTTCATCTCCTCATTAATCATCCTCAAGGGCATTTTTGTGACCAGAATGCTCAATGTAAGTCGGTGTTCGTTTGTAAATCCCTCTTCTCCGTCAACTCTCCATCTGCTGAAAGCCACGCCAATATAACTTTATGATCTAAGTCCAACTGTGTTGGTTTCTTGTCTTCCTTCTTTACAAAACTCCATAACCTTCTTTTCCATGCAACTGTCTCATCTAAGACTGAAATCAGCAGCTTGCTAGCCTTCAACCATATCAATCAAAGGGCCGAAACGTGTTCACGTATTGATTGACAGCTGTGAGCATCCAGCCCTGACAGCGTCCTACTCTGAGTGGTTAAGAGTGTTATTCTGGTGAAAACCCTTTAGAAGAGAACATCTCTGTACTCCTGCCAGGCTGTTTGATGAGTCTGGGTGAAATCCTTAGTAAAATAAGCTTTGGGAAGATGTTTCTGCTAAAACATATTTGAAATTATTGTATATTGTAGCTTGACTGTGTCACAAATGTTAAAAATGACAGGCACAGAATAAGGAAGATGGATGGTACATGGGCAAATGAATAAAAATGGTAGTGACACTAAATAAAAATTGGAGTGAAAAACTGTGGGACTAGGAACAGAGACGCAGGTCTGAGGTTCATGATAACAACACTCATCACTACCATTAAAAGGGATTGCCAATAAATCCATGTTGAACACATGTGAGTGGAGCGTTGTATAGTCTTTTTACAAGTTGCTGAAACAAACTTTACACTCAATTTGTTGTTTGTAATTTGTATGTGTCTTTGGTCCTGTTGGCTTATAGCTGGATTTAATCACTGACCTGCTGGGGACTCCTTCTATGGAGGCGATGAGGACGGCGTGTGAAGGTGCTCGTGCACACATTCTCAGAGGCCCTCACAAACAGGTGACCGGTCTATTTATACATCTGTCTTTATGAACAAATGAATTGATATTGGGGTTTTCTGTTTGCTAATAGCATTTGAACTGCACACATTTTACCAAAGGTTAAATGTGGATAGAACAGGATTCAACAAGGATTCATACACTAGCAGAGAATCATAAGCCAACCTGGAAGGCAGAAGGAAACTGAGCTCTCTTCTCATGGTTGGGACAGAACTGTGTACTGTTGTTCATATTTCAAGTTATTTGGGTGTTTGTGTGTTCATGACAGCCTGGACCACATGTCCAGTTTAAGATCAAATGAAAGTGTGCAGCATTTTCAGGTAGGTATGAACATTTCAGTAGTCTAATGCAATTATTTTATAAAGGTTTATGTTCTTTACAATGGTAAATAGATAGATCAGATGTTTGGATTATGAGCGGCATCTGCCTGCATGGTGAAATTTACTCATATGGTGTGGCTAAAATTGGGGTGGGGCAGAAAATGAAACAGGTAAGGTTGTAAACATAACCTCCAGGAGCTAGCATGGCTAGCAGGCTAACAATAGCAGTTCACAGACTTGTAAATGGAAGTGTTTTACAGTCACAGTGTTTTACTGTCATCGGCCTCTGTCACTGTCCTCACACTCATTCACAAAGTCGAGCATCTCTTCCTTTCTGCTGCTTGTATTCTCTCACCTGCTGTTACAAAACAGGGATGGAAATATAAACAAAATTACTTCCACAACAGTGCCACCCCCTCTCTGTTTGAATGGACATTGTCGAGCATCGCAATTTTTGAGTGTCAGATTTGAGAGGTAGACTGGCTGTATTCTGTTTACAGTGCTGGCCTGATGCTTGACACGTAGCAGCAACTGGCTGTATTCTGTTTACAGTGTTGGCCTGATGCTTGACACGTAGCAGCAAGGCCAGGAAAACTCTCTTAGACGCAGTGCAGACAGCACATGAGCTTCACAAGATAATGGTAATTTGAGAAAATAGGTTACCCTTTCATACTATCACAGAATGAACAGCCTACATGACTGACTGAACACTGCCTCAGATACAAGGACACCATCTTACTGAAATATTGTGTGATTTTATGGGTTTTAATTTCATTCACTCAAGCTAGGTCAAAGAATGAATTGCCAAGCTCAGCATGATATTTCTAAACATTCACATCCTCTGTGCAGAGTTTGTGATTCACAGTCAAAAGTTGTGGACTACAGGGAGGAGATGGTGCCCACAGTTACTGAGCTGTCTGAGTTCTGTCAGAGTCCACTTGTTGATTTGCAGCAACTTGCCATGGTCAGCACCAGAGTGCTGTTTCATGTGCCGAATTTAAATGGAACAGAAACCGCGTCCATCCTGTACAAACTGCCACCTTACTGGGCGGGTGTAGGGCTTCACCCGCTGAGCTCTGCATGAAGCAAAGGAGGCGGTCAGTTCAGAGTTAGAAGTCCTGTTCTACATAGAAATCAACGGTGAGAGAATTTTGGTCTGACTGCCCTGCTGTGATCATGCCCCCCAGAGGCTCCATCAGAACTCACCCTCAGTCTGTGCAGTCTTGTTCCCTGCAGCAACATTGAGTCATGCTTCCACTGCCATTCCAAACTCTGCCCCTTCTGTGACCACATGTGACACATAGGAGCAGCCTCCACTTGTGTAGCAAATGTACAAGTGGCATCACCCAGGTGTGGCCTCTTTTTGGAAGTCCTTTCACTGAATTTTTTCTTCCAGTGACTGATCATAGAACCATCCATAAAAACATATTTCTTAAAAACTGTAAAAGATACCAACAGACTGGAAAGAAGTATGGTGGCCTAATGAAATGTGACATTACAGTGTCTCTCATCAAAACACAGCGTGCGTATCCATAAGGCCTAACAAACAAATCCATATGTCCATGTTTAAATTAGCTTCCCCCAGTCTGCTGGCACAGTCATGTAAGAGAGAGGATTTGATCATGATACAACTGAAAGAGTCGGGGGAAGATCCTTGATGTTGTGTTGTGTTTTGTCTGCAGCCATCCCTTCCTGTTCTCTACACACTGTCCAGCCAAGCAACCCATGAAGCTGTCCACCTCCTCTGCAGGATGCTGGTGTTTGATCCAGTGAGTCATTCTCTTACATAGATTTGCATTATGTTTTGAATGAATGAAAATGAGTCTGTGAAATATATTTACTAGGGATGGGAGGATATGACTTTTTCTCCATATGATTCGATCCACAATATGGTGTGTACGATTAGATTTAATCATGATACAATTAAACAACAATGTATAACTAGCTGCAGAATACTGGTACTTTATTCCTCTTTTTTCTCCTTTTCTAGCCCTGGTTGGATTATGTAAAGAACAACCAGATACTGTATAGTGACTTGCGTTCTGTTAGGCAATCTTATGGAGCCACACAATGTGTATCTCTAGACAAAATGATGCATATTGTCATGTTTTTGTATCGCAGTATATTGAATTTTGATTTATTGTCTCATCTCTAATAGCTACATCAGCAGATACTATATTTTCTATATAGCATCATCATACAGTCTGTAATGAAAACAGAGGAGACTGGCCTGGCCACAGTGTAAACACCTGGGCTTTAGTTCAAGATTCACATTCAGACTAGATTTATATCCAAGTATGTTTTTAGTTTTTTTTTTTTTTTAGTTTGTACGGACCATAACAATCCAAGGAATGAGATAAACCTACTCTGAAGTTAATTTTTGTGACTTGTGTTCTGTTGACGAAGGCACAGTAAGACCACCTGCACCATCTGAAGTTGAATCAGTATGAGTCCTTTGTCCCATTTCCATTTTCTATTACTTCTGATCTTTTCATTGTCATCTGGTCAAGAAAAACAATACTGTCCCCTGTACATCCCACACTGTTGAAGAACCTGGAAAGTGTAATCAAGTTACAGACCTGACAACACTCGGAACCACATGACAGAACCAGGACCAACATGTCCATTTTGACAAACACATGGACAAAATGGACATTTGTAGTTTTTAGAGTTAACATCATCTCTCCAAATAGTCAGTAGTCCATAGCTCTGCTGCCTCAGATGACCCTGCATCTTCCATAACAGTCAAGTTAACTGCATCATAAAGTTAGACTAGAGTTTAAACTGAGCATCACACTTTGAGAACTTGCGCTACAAATCGGTGAAGATAAATCAAACTTGATATTTAGGACTTTGTATGATCATGCATGTTCATTCATACGCAAGTTTTCTTCAGTCCATGGGTAGCCTTAGCTACACTCTCACACTTTATCATCTGTTCCATCATATTTCATACATTGAAATGGCATACTGAGGAGAATTGGACCCAAATGCAAACACACTTTCAGGCTGCTCGCTTAACACTTTTTTATACACTCAGTGAAAAACAACGATTTAGGGGATGGCTGTGGCTCAGAAGGTAGAGCTGGTCATCTCCTAACCAGAAGATTAGCAGTCAAAGTGTCCTTGAGCAAGACACTGAACCCCCAGAGTCCAAAGAAAGGTCGAAAAACACAGGGGATTGTAAACATCCAACAAAGTCCAAGGGGATCAGGCAAGAGTCAGAGTTTAGAAAGTTGTGAAGTTGGTGTTAAATTTTTACTGCTTCAGTCTTAGAGGGGAGATAAGGTGTAGATCTCCCTGCCCATCTTGGTCATTTCCATACTGTTACTTAGCAGCTGATCACGGTTTCTCTTTGATTCCCTTTGACATATATGCTGAAACTAAGATTAATGTAAATTGTAGCTGCTGTCTAACTTTGTTGTGTGGTCTTCAGTCAAAGAGGATTTCAGCAAAGGATGCCCTGGCTCACCCTTACCTGGATGAGGGTCGACTGCGCTACCACACCTGCATGTGCAAATGCTGCTACACCACATCTTCTGGCCGTGTTTACACCAGTGACTTTGAGCCAGTCACTAATCCCAAGTTTGATGATGGCTTTGAGAAGAACCTGAGCTCTGTGAGACAGGTCAAAGGTACATTTCTCTTTGCTGCAGGAAAAGACATTTTAACATAGATTTCAAAAAGAGCTGTCGGTGACCCTTATGATTACTTTTGAGTCATAACAAAATGGCACATCTACTAAACAACACAATCTGCCAGAGTGGGCTGGTAGAATATTCTGCCAGATACAATATCAGTCTTTGAGTTTTTGAAATGAAGAGGAAACAAGAGAAAAGCAGCAACACTAGCAGATACTAGCAGCTAAACAATGTTCTTTTGGCTGAGTGGATAAGAAGCATCTTCACACCAACAAATCAGCCAAATGTGTCAGACACAGTCCATGGCAAGTCTGACTTTAGGGAAGAAAATGAAATCAGTGAAAGCTTTACATGATGTAGATGCACTGAGATCTCCACAGATCCTTCCCCTGGGCCTAACACACGCAGACCTGGCTGTGGAGTAGTAGAGTCACCAGGAGGAACTTCTGTCTCTGTGTCTCCTGTAATAAAAGACTGTAGCTCCATGGAAATATGAAAATTGTCTTCTAAAGAATTTGAAAGATGAGCTGTGACTTGAAATGAGAAATCAGTGTAAGAATGATTTCATCTTTCTCTGCTGCTGTGTTTGTCCTCACAGAGATCATCCATCAGTTCATTTTGGAGCAGCAGAAGGGGAGTCGAGTGCCACTCTGCATTAACCCCCAGTCAGCTGCTTTCAAAAGCTTTATCAGGTAGGAGGCTCTTTAATTCCCAGCACTGTGAAACACCATAGCACTAGAGATTGTGTATGTGTGTCAGTAACAAACATACAACCTGTTTGTCAGACAGTGTTGGCTGGTAGGAAGGTGTGTTTTTTTTTTTTTTTAACCTTTTGATGGTGCTCGGCCGTTGGCTTCTTTGCATCCACTCTTTGTGCTAAGCTAAGCTAAACACCCACACACATTAAACTGATGTCAAACTGATATTGTCAAGCAGTAACATTTGTGGAACACAAGATAACACATTTAACCAAGTAACGCAAGTCTTGAGCTAACACACCCATGAAGTTCACCTACTTGTTGGCCTCCTGTTGCACAGCTCCACAGTGGCTCAGCCCTCGGAAATGCCTCCGTCTCCGCTGGTGTGGGAATAGCTTCTGTCACCTGTAGTCATCTTTCCCGACTGACAAGCTGCTAAACTGGGAACATGAACAATGTCTGCTATCATCTGCGTAGCATTTCACTGGAGAGCAGGACTCACAAGTGTGCTGTGTGCATGCTGACATGTGAAACACATGAAGAGAAAACCACTGATAACTGTGTGATGGGGTGTATTTAGAGAGTTTGGTATGCAAATGAATCAGATGAATACTCCACAGACAACATCAGAATGTTGGAAACAGCCCATCTGCCCACTTCCAGCTAGATTAGATTGACACTTATACAGTATAATGAAGTACATTTGTTTTGCTATATATATTAATTCTTTTTTTTTTTTTTAAAAAAAAGTCTATTTAAAATATTCTCTAATCACAGAGGAATTTCCGATACATTTAGGCTACTCTGCACCCACCTTCACCTCTGCACTGATTAATTCCATTCAACTTTGCTTCTTTTTCAGACAATCAATTGTAATTATGTTAACAGACTAAATGTTTTTCCAACTGAAAGCTTCCCATATTTTATAAGGACATTTTAACTAATTTAAATGGAATTTCAGGTATGTGTCCCTTTGTCCTCATGCACATTTGGCCATAGTTTTCACTTCTGTAACAGTTCATTTGCCAAAGATCAGAAGCTTCATGTATAAATGATGCATAAACATATGAGACTGTGTGCAAATGGTTTGGGATTTAACCTGAACATTCAGGTTGGATAGACACATCAAGCCATGCTGTAAAGGTTCAGTGTGTATGGAACAAACTTGTTGTCCCAGCTGGCTTCTCTTGAATGAATCCCCCCACCTCCCTGTTTTTTCTCCTGCAACTTAGGTCTTATGTTACAGAAATTTGGGGGATGCAGACCCCTTCCAGTTCTAATGTTAGAAAGGTGAGGGTGGACATTGGTTTCACACTGTTACACTGATCCACCTGGCACTTTGTTTGAAGCACTTCAGTGTTAGCGAACACTCCACACATTAGCCATTCCAGGAGCGGATAAATCAGGGCTGAGCATGTCAGTTTTTCCTAGAGTTCTGCCCTCTACTGGCCAAAATGGATCAATTCAGCTTTAAGCAGAAGGTGCAGAGCGTCAGTGATCAACAATATAGTCATGTCATGTATAATGGGCTCGATTACTGTTGGCTTGTTTTATTTGTATGAAATGTTAGCACGTCAACATGCAAGAGGCTCATATCCACTGTAGATCTCACTGTCATTTCCTGTCTGTTCTGATGGTGCAGTCCTTCCATGTAGAACTCGCTCCTATCAGTTCACAGGCTGCATCGCTTTGCTGATATGCCCTCAACACGCTTTTATAAAATGGAAGTGAATAATATAAATTCATAGAGTGAAGCTAAAAACAAATCCACTCATGTTTAGTTCAGGCATAGAGGAATGCACTTCATGTTGAGATACATTGCCAAGTTTTACATATACCCTGCATGTATTAGAACAAATACATGTATTCATGTATCTGCTATGTTTAGGCATGATTTCAGTGATGAGTTTATACATGAGGCCTGAAAAAATCTGTATTGAAGATATACCATTCCTAATATGTAAACCAGTCTGGGTTGGTCATTGTGGAATGGGTCAGGTATCTCCTGAGAACACCAACACCACCTTTACTTCTGGTTGGAATAATAGACCTGGGAACTCACCACATCATCCTACTAATAGGGATTTTAGATGAGTTGTGTTTAGTTGTTGAGATCTTCTTCTGTCCGTTGACACATACGGATAGAAGGGAGATGTCAGTGTACGGCCTCTCAGCAGTCTGTAGTTCTGAAAGTGTGGTGTTGAGCAGGTTGTTTCCATACTCTGCTCTGACTGGACAGTTGTCTTCTGATGTAGCGACATTATTAGGAGGCTGGAGGCTGCAGCTATCAGCTTTTCTTCTATTTAGTTTCAAATTCCCTCCCCCAGTGAAGTGCAGCAGTAAACAGCTGATTGGGTCTGGGCTGGCTGTGACTTGCCCTGCATCAGAGGACATTTGCATAAAGTTCAGTCTCCCTCATTCACAATGAATAGCAGCCGTCAGTGGCCCAACTTTGTGAATGTGTTGGGTTCTCACTCGCATGCTACATGAACAACAATTGAAGCTTTCATGTGAATAGCAAATAAGTTGGATAAAGGGATAAAACTAAATGTTACCCTTGCTTCCGAGCAGGATGACACAACTCATCAGACTGCGGTGATACAGTCCTGCCCCCACCTCTGAGTGGCCGTAGTACTCAGACCGCTAACATTCACCTCAGCACTGGTGTATGTGCTGTCAGCCTAACTCAGTACTTCTTGTATTTATGAAGGAACATGTGCTGTCTACTTGTGTGCCTCCTAATGTCACTGCTGGGACAGTGAGGTAACTCTTCACACACTCAGCCAAACTGAGCAAATTCTACCCCAAAGAGTCTGAAGGGAAAGATTTATGGAAAACAAAAGTGCACTGAAGTGAAACATGTCAGCTCTCTGTACGGCCTGTTGGCCTTCCTACCCTCTGGCTCTTCTTTTTGCAGCATTGGCCATCCTTCCTGTTGTTTATCAGAACAGTTTATTTGACAGCTTCATGGTAGGGTTTTGTCCATATAGCACCAAACAACAGCACATAACAGCCCAGACATGGCTGTTTGAGTCAGGCAGAGGGCCTTTGGTGCAACATCTCCCTCTTCTTTGGACATCAGCACCAATAGTAGCAGTTACTTCCCAGACTATCTGTTGGGCACGGTTACATGCTCTACATTTCAGCTGGTTGACTGTGGGGTTCTCTTCAGTTAACTGAATCACACTAGAGTTTGTTTTAACCCTCATGGCTGTGTGCTTGATCTTGTTTACTTTACTTGTTTTTTTAATCAATATATAACATATTTCTTTCGTTTGCCTTGGAACAACACAAAACAGCAAAAAAAAAAAAAAACCAAATCTGATCCATTCTAAACAGAATTCTAAAAATGGACTGGACAGAATTATTGACTCGGAACAACACAAAACAGCAAAAAAAAAAAAAAGCCAAATCTGATCCATTCTACACAGAATTCCAAAAATGGACTGGACAGAATTATTGACACCTTCAACTTAATATTTGGTAGCACACCCTCTGGACAAAATAAGTGAGGTATATTCTCTTTTCTTTAACACCCTCTTGTTGTTATTGTTACATCTACAGTCATGGCCAAAAATATATTGGCACCCCTGTATTTCTGTCAGATAACACACCACTTCTCCCAGAAATTTGTTACAATCAAAAATTGTTTGGTATTCTCATGTTTATTTCTTTCGTTTGACTCGGAACAACACAAAACAGCAAAAAAAAAAAAAAAAAAAAAAAAACCAAATCTGCATTATTCCCCCACA